AACCCTACCTAAGCCGTGGGCGCAGTTTAAAACTTACACTGGTGGACTATGAACCGGTAAACGAATGAACAGATATTTGGGGGTGTTGAAGAGAGAGATTGTTCCCTAATTAAATTTATATTTGGGGCATGAAAAAGCAATAAAAAAATAGAAATGTGTCACTGATACAACCTTTCAGAGAGTAGGCATTTTCCTCTTGACCCCTCAAGCAGCGTTTGATGTCTCTAAAGAAACAATGTCATTGTTTATTTTTTTAAAGATCACATGTACTTGTATAAGATACTACTTCTATTAAAAATGTTGGCTCTGTCCTAATCAAGCAACCATGAGACAAAAAGATTGTGAGTCTTTTCTAGGTAGTTCTAATTATTCAGAGTTGGTTGAGCAAAGAAGATCCCGACCTCTCTCATTTCATTTGTAGACTTTCAACCAAAGAGTCAGACTCATTTAAAACCCTTGAAGGGGGAAAAAAAAAGGGGGTCCCACACAGTGGATGGCCTTTTTAAGTGGTTATAAAATCCTGATATCTCACATATCTCATGTTAAAGGAAGAGAAAAAAAATTCTCTCAAAGGACTGATACACTTGGATATTGTGTAAATCTTACTCAAGTTTGTTGTCAAGCTTTAACTGCGTTTTTAAACTTTTTAAAATTTAACCCCCAAATCTATTGTATTAGATGCCTTCTATTACAATAAATCTTCACTGAGCAAAAGGTTCTGAAGTTTGTGGTTTTTAATTGACTTACTGCGTTATGTAATTTTTCATTATCAAGAATGGGTCTTTTGATGGATCACCTCAATTATTTACAGTGTTTCTTACCATGTGATGAAAAATGTGGCTTAAAAACTGGCGATAGGAATGGAAAGGAAATCTAGTTTGAATGCTGGGACAGGCTTCTCTGTTCTTTAGTGTCTGTTGAGATAGAAAGCAATAACCCTAAAGAGGCTCTTGGGATGAAGTCCAGAGAAAACTAGACGCCCTCCTCCCCCTGAAAAAGGTAAATAATGCAGACAGAAAGAAATTATTTCACCGTGTTACAGAGGCATGTAAAACTGACTCTTCCTTTCTTGATGGCACTCTTTAATTACATATGTGTTAATAAGCCAGATAGCCCTAGGGTCTCCACAGGGCCAAACCCTAACCCCTCCAGGCTTATGAGTAAGGAAAACTTCCCCTTTGCTGCTTGGCGAGTCCAGGAAATTAATTTACTCACCTCGGAATGAATCTTAATAGGGCTGCCCTCAGTAGGTATTCTCTAGACCCAAATGACTTAACAATTACGACCCATGATGTTTTGCTAAAATATCACTTACATTAATTAGAACCATTGCTTAAAAGGTTTTAGGATTGTAGTTTTGCTTATAGTTCTTGGAGCTCTGATTCAGTCCATACCTTAGAAGCTAAAGAAAACTCTTATAAAAAAGAAAACTGATTTCTTTAAGGGAAGACAACCTGCGGTTGTGACTACTGAACTGAAAATGCTCTCAAATTTTCAATGCATTGTTAAAAGTCTGCTTTGCATCCGCGTGCCTCCATCATACTGAGGCATACCCTGGTTCCTTCTAAAAGTTTCCCCTAAGTGCTAAAGCTTAGGTCTGACCTCCATTGCCAAAGAGTTTCCACACTCAGCAAAGCAAAGCAATTCAGCAGCGAGGTTGCCCAAAGCGAGTGCCATCATTTGTCAGTGTCTACTTGTACACGCACATGGATACGAAAGAGCTGTAAAAACCTCAGTTAAGGTGAAAAGGCCCCTCTGAGTCCATAGAGGAATAAACATACCCATTTTCTGGGGGGAAAAGAACAAAAAGAGGCACCTGTACTTCACTGGCTAAACTGTGACTACAGAAGAACTGAACTGGGACGTGTTTAAGTAAGAGGACCCTGCACTCATTTTTGGCTTCCGTCATCTGACATCTGGAATTCTTCCCAGTAAGAAAATCTCATACTTGAGATGGAGACTTTCTATGAGTGTCAATAAGTTTTGGCAAAATAAGTAAACTCCTGGTGAAATGAGACACTATTATCTGTGCTTAACTGCTGTTTCTTCATTCTTTCTGACATGAAGTGCCTGTCAGCACTTCGGGCATACATATATGAAAGTCACAGTGAAAACTTTTATCTTTTATTCTTCAGTTGAATTTCCAAAGGAAAATATTTTGGTCCTATAGTTCCTCACGCAAATTCATAGAATGTTTCTTAACTATTTACTTAAATATTTTCTAAGTCTTCTAAATCTTCCTTAAATGTTTCAAGCATTTTCTAAAATATTTAAGATATTTTCTTAAATATTTACTACTGTGTTCATAGGCTTTAGCCATCGGTTGACAGACTAGTTGTGTGTGTGGACCAAAAATAGGAAAATATCTTTCTAAAGGGATTTTTACTCTGAAAAGCAAGTAAACAATATAACTTTCCTCCAGTATTCTCTATGTCTTTTCATTCCTAAGATTGATGATTCCCGTAAAGAAGAACGTTCCAGTTTTTTGGACTGCTGTCACTAACTGTGGTATTTTTTTAAAATATATTTTATTTAATTGTATTTATTCATTCATCCATTCTAATTTGACCAGAGAGAGGGACACAGAGAGAGAGAAAGGGAAAGTGAGAAAGCAAGCCACCAGGTCAGGGACTCAAACCACAGACGGCCTTGTGGAGTGTCCAGCACCTTAACCACCACGCCACCTGCTGGTCCCCATTAACTGTGGTATGTTGAAGCATAAGCATAGAGAGAGAAAGAACAGCTAACCTACTTGTCATGCTTCCATATTCTAGAACCTATCCTCACAAATAATCTCACAAAACAAGAAAAGAGAAAAAGGAAGAAGTACTTATTTGTATGTCAAACTTCAGAGAACGCCAAGGAAACAGACGTAAACATGTAGACAAAATACACCCTCCTCCTTCAACATTCGTTCTTGGAAACCCTTTTCTTGTATGTTGAACTCGGGTCCATGGCTACGGCTAAAACAAAGTGGGCTCCTTAAGGTAGAAGACCATGCCTTTTTTTTTCCGCATGTCCTGCTGCGTCTAGCCAGGGCCTTGTAAAATATTTGTTGAACTAAATTAAGAATGCCTCTGAGACCGCGTCTTTCCAGCGCTCAGCT